AGTTTGTGGGGGGGGCGGAAGGCAGTGCTAGTTTGTGGGGGGGTTGGGGTGGTTCCTGTCAGCTGCTGCTTACCCTGGTTCACTTGCCTGTGCTGCTTCATTGACGTCAGAGTGGCTGCATGAGGCTTCTTCCAGCTCCCTACCAGTGCAGATGGATGGACCGGCTTCCTGTGCAGGAACTTGAGATAAAGGGAGGGGGGGGGGGCTCTTCGATCCCGTCTCCAGGTGCCTGCAGAGAGCTCCAAGTCTGGAACAAAAATGGGTCTATCAGCGTCGCTGTAGTGGTGACCACGGATTTGAGGAGTTTGTTTTGGGCACCGAATTAATCTTTGGGGGCTTTGTGACGACGACCCACCTCCGGCCACGTGCTGCCCCCCCCCCAGCAATGAAGTAGAACGTCACAGCCAAATGCTAGGAAGGTGATGCATAAAAAGAACACAGGAGTGTTTCCTGTGCCGCCGGCCGCTTTGTGCGCGCCGTCACCCAGACACCTCTCCTGGCAGGAAGGGGGAGCAGATTCTTCCTGTTTTCAGCGTCGCCGTAACCTGGCCAGCACACGCTGCTTGTTTCTCACCGGATAATTAAGAACCTGCATGAGCTCGGAAAGGTGACATCATAAACCTCGTCATATGAGCCCCCACACACACACACACACACACGGCAAGGCCAGTAATGCCTATGATTTCATATTTCATCATGTCCACATTTATAATTATAATTACTTATTACTATGATTTTATTATTATCTATTTTAACTACAAAATTATTATTATTCCTGTAATTCGTGGACACTAAATGTTTGTCGACCAACGTCAAGCAAACACATTCTTTGGTCTTTCTTTCATGTTTATTTGCTGGTGACCCTGACCTGACAACAGGTGGCGATTTTTACTGTCGGCATCTGTCAAAATTCCCCTGGAACTAGAGTCGGGGCATCCTGACAGCGGGCCAGTGTCGGTTTGATGTGGAAACCCCGGCGTGACACTGTCCCGCTGCTGACGCATCTCAGGCAGACCGTCCCGTGGTCCTTCAGCTCCTGTCAGACCGTCCCGTAGTTGAGTGGCATGTAGTTGCGGAAGATTTTGAAGACTTTAAAGGTGTTTAATTTGCATTCTGGCAAAATGATGTCCTGGCCTGGCCTTCAAAAAAAAAAAACCAAGAATTAAAGGTACCATTCCTTCTTAGATTAACGTAGTAGGAGGACCCTACGTTCTACGTTTTGGGAGATGTACCATCGTCTCGTGGGAATACGTGACCTGTTACAGGTAGCACCTGATAAGGTCTCTGTTTGCAGCAGCTGCATGGGAGCCGGGGTTGCTATGGGAAACCAGCAAGCAGAATGCTGATGCCCCTGGATGTTTGTGGTCATGGTTTCACTCCCCCCCCCCCCAGCAGAATAAAGCACTACCTAAACATCATAGTGCTCAGGTCAGGAACTCTAAAGGCAGCTGCAATCAGGGTGAGATTTTGACGGTCTTGACAGCTTTTCCATATCCAGGCGACTGTCGGGAAGCAGCAGTAGGTATCTGGCGATGCCCCCCCCCCCCCATGCAGAAAATAGTGACAGTTCCAGTCATCATGCTGTGAGGAGCGACTTCCCACAACTGTGGGCAGAGGAGAGCAGGACCCAGAAGATGGTTTTGCAACATTACCACCAGCCAGTTGCGAAATTTCTCCTGCTTTCTGTTTACTGGGGATATTTAGGTTCATTATTGAGCTCCAAAGGTGCCACACCAAGGTCTGGGCTGGGGCGGGGGGCTGCATCAATCCCCTACATTCTTGCCCCTTCTAGAAGTATTCAGACACAGGAACACAGAATTCCTGCATTTCTTTATCAAAGAAGTTACATGTTAGAAAAGTCATTTGCATCCAGTTCCTTCAAACTCTTTGGTTGTGTGGTTATCAAATTATCAAATGAATGACCTTGTGGCGTTTGAGACTGAAGTCTTGGATATTGTGTTGGGTACACAGGCTTGCTGCGTGATACTTATGTCTGAATACGTTTGTGGGACATTCTGCCTCCTTTAGAATTCCAACCCCGAAAATGTACAGCATTTTAGACACAATTTAGCCGTTTTGCTCTTCGGTGCTGCTTGTCTGCTTGGAGTGATTAACGCTCTCTTGCCTTTGGGGGACCTTGAGTAACGAGCAGTTTTGAACGACGGTTCAGTATCTGAGCCACGCCGAGGGAGGGGTCCTGTTTTTTGCCAATCCTTCTGGCCAGCTGTTGTCGGGTCAGGTGCCAGGATCTCTTGGTTAACCATGAGTCGGCTCATCCGTCATCATTCGTTTATCCCAGAGCCACCCTACATCTGGTGTTATGGGAACGGATTCCATGAAGCTGTTACCACGAAAACACAGGAAATTCAGTGGAAGTTATCCCACGTCTCGTGTGGGAATGGGCCTGGGAGTTGGTGTGGATTTCGAGGATACGCTTCCACCCTCTGTGTCCCCTGTGATGCTCATTCCAAGCCTGCCTCTGGTCCTGAAAGTCATGCACGGAATATGCTGCATTTAAAACCCAAACCCAGTGGGCGACGTGAACCGCTGAGCGTCTGACGTCTTATTTTCACTAATCCACGTGACGGTGTTCACCGTTACGATTAAGGTATGGAAACATCCAAAGTGTCCAGTTCCTCTGATGCTCCCAGAACGTTACCCGACTACTGAGACCAAAAACAATAACATAAACGCAAATGAAGAGCATGGTGGAACATGATCTGTCACTTTACACCTCGAAGGTCATGGGTTTGAGGCTAGATGGCACTTTGGTAGTATAGACACATATAGCACTTTTATAAGATAATTATTTATTAGGGAACAATATCTTTCAACATTATTTGCATTAAAAGGCATGCCTGTACCCATCATTGAGGATGCTGAGGTCAAGTCCTCAGTATTTTTTCTTCAACGGCAATAACTACGATTCATTATGAGACACACCTAGGACAGGCCAACACTTGTGACCTCGGTGTTTTAAAAATCCTCACTACGGTCATGTTAAAAGGTGATCATGTTATCGTGCCGACACTGACAGAACCTTTGCTAAAATGTAGAACGTGGAAGTAACGTTCTGTTAATGTTAGGGTAAGAGGGTTCTCTGCCAACACTGAGAAGACCTTCCCATAACACTGGCACATGACGTTGGCTAAAGTTGGTTAAGAACCTTCGGGTGGGACCCTGCCCAAGCTTGAGCTGGATGTCATGCATTGTCTCAGGCAGCTCTGGTGATGCCGTAAACCTGCTGTGAGAGAAACGCAACAAATGCAACATTGAGCAACTTCAGAAAGCGCCAAACTCCCTGGACATCAGATCGTGAACATAAAACAGACTTCTAAATACCTCTGTTTTTTTGTCAGGCAGCTAATTTGCTGTAGCCAAGTTTCTTTCCAACGGAAAATGGCTTTGGGGGGGTGGGGGGAGGCCATTCCGCTTACATTTATATCTTAGTTGAATAATAGATGCATGTAGTTCATATGGCAGCCTAGCCGTTTGTGTGGACTTGTTTTCGCCTTTGACAGTCTCTGTGAAAGATTCCACGCTGTCGCTTTTGTTACAGCAGGGTGTGTGTGAGGTCACTGAGCGAAACTGGGAGCAAAAAAAGTTAAAAAGTCCATGTTACAGTGTTGATGATTTCTTATATAAATTGCTTTTTACAATAAGGGACCGAAAAAACTCTGGATACTGAAAAAATTATGGTTTGAAATTTTGATATGTTCTTTCTCTTTCTTCCCTACAAATTTTCATCCTAATCCCTATTTTCTTACTTCACTATATTACTAAAAGTGGCAAAAAAAAGGGCTGAACTTCTATGTATGGATCTCTGTCTGTGCATGGATCTCTGTCTGTGCATGTGTGTTTGAGCCAAATATCCCAGTGTACAAATTGGCTGCCCAGGTTTGGAGTAGAGTCATTGTGACATGATTTCCCATGATACTCAGCGAATAGCCTGACACAAGACCACAGGAAACCTCAATCCCCCACTGCCCCCCCCCCATCTCCGCCTTCCACCCCCTAACCTGCTGTGCTGGGTGCCTCAGAACCCAAGACAGTGTTTACATTGCAAATATTTGTACACGTTTTTCTCTGATACAGGCCGGTGTGTATTTTACACCGGGGGGCAGCTCAGACTCTGCTCTCAGCATCTCGCTCGCACAAAAGGCCTTTGGGCCCAGTCGTGATATATCTGTCAACCACTTAGTTGAACGGTTCCGGTAAAGATGAAAAGCAGCCCCCGGGTCTGGAGCAGCTGCATCCGTGTCTCCGGCAGCACAAACAAGCCTTAACAAAGTCCTTCAAGTCACATGATGAAGTGGCTGCTCAAACTGGGGGCTGTGGTATGTGTTCCCCCCCCCCCCCCCCCCTTCACTTTCTGGCAGGAGGGAGCGTCGTTGAAGCCGTCGGAGTTCCTTGTGGTCTTTCGAGAACAAGGTGCCACGGAAATCGGCGTCCGCTACTCTGGAGAAGCTAACCGGCAGAATTACCCAGAATTCCATTCAGCTTTTTTCTTCTATTTTTTTTTATTTCTCGGGGAAAGCGGACGGCATGTAGGCATGTGGGCAGATGGTGTGTATGAAGTATGCAGGCATACTTGTGCGGAGGATTGGATCACACTTTGGGGAACATGACCACCGCACTGAGGATGGGGAAGCTTTGGCTACAGATTTGGTTTGGTGCTCTCTAACTCTCTGAAACATCCCAAGTTGCCTACTACTCCCATCATGCCCATCATGCACTTGTGAGGGGCATCGTGCTTCTCCCAGCTGATCAGCTGGTTCTCGTCAAACAAAGCTAGAATCTTCCAGATTCGGGCCCAAGCCAGCCTGCGCTGTCTAGATCTGACTGGGTCGTCTCATTATTCTCCATTCCAGCACCACATCAAGACAGGAGCTGAAGATTATGAAGATGACACGATATCCAGGTCGCACAGAGATTCCAGGCTGTCATGCACAACATCCTCAACGAGTTTAAAAAAAAAAAACAACTGAAAAGTTAGCAGGTTCCTGTTTGTTTATTTTTTGAGGTGACTGGTCTGTTTCACTCTGCTGTAGAGCCCCGGTCTGTTCCCGTAAGAGGAAGTCCGTGTCAGATTTTCGCGCTGAGCTCAGGCTTAGTGAGACCCGTGGATGCTGGCAGGCTTGGCAGCTCTCACACCAGTAAGTATTCGAATTATGTGATTGACGTCAGCACGGTCATAAAGCAGACGGCTGCCCGTCCCTAAGGTGCCCTGCTGCCAAAAAAGCTTCAAACAGCCCTGGCTGGGGGGGGTTGGGGGGGGGCAGCTTGTTTTGATATCGAAGCAAAAGGCTCAGTCTAAACTCCATGAGAGGCTGTGTCAGATGCCGAATGTGTTTTTGTGAAAAAGAGAGAGCGCGTCCCCCCTCTGGCTTTCGGACATTTAAGCCCCCTGGCAGATACCCACCCCCAGCTCCCAAGGTGGCCTCCATCAAAGCTCCGAAATTCACCTCCCGTGTCGTGGGCCGTGATCACCTCAGCTTCTCATTCCGAAACTGAGACGAGAAAACTTGAGCAATGAGAGAACTGGATACCCCCAAGCCCGTAGACATTCTGACATCCCCCCCCCGCACTCAATATAGTAATATGGAGGGGGGGATTTGTGGGTGACACACACCATTTTGCAGATCAAAATACATAGGTCTTGTTGTTGTTGTTTTCTTATAAAATCCTCATAAATAACTTGCTTGTAATTTTTTAATTAGCCTAATTGTTTTTTAGGTTATTTAATCAAAATGGACTAATATATTCAGAAATGCATGTATATTTTTTAAAACAAGTATTATGTACATATATGGTATTGAAAGTGAGGCACGCATTCTAACCCTGAGGCTTCTGGTGGATTCCGCTGTGCGTCTTAACGCTTTTTAACATGAAACCGGATTTCATTGTTTACTGCCCGTATATCTTGCCAGCTTGTTTTCACTGCACTGTAAAACCTGCTGCCCTAGATTTCTTTGCGAGTCCTTGATTTAACTAGACAATAGCTCCTAAGCTGCTAAAACCTTTATTTTTAATCACATCCGCCCTGCAGAACAGGTGTGATATCCTGTAGGGAGCACGGACTTGACACTTGCTGCTTTTCCACAGACGAGGCCCTTGTACTTGGGACTGCTTCTGATTTTTTGGTGTTGTGTTATGCACAAGTGACTTATATTTAACCAATCGACTTGAAAAATAAATCTTAAGGCCTGATTGTGCTGTAAGTGTGAAATTGTCTGATTGTGGTGTAATAGCAGCTTTTTAGGTTGTGTACTTTGTGGCTTACTGAGTATGTGGTGTTAGACCAGAAATTCCAGTAGTAAAATGTAAGATTTTATCTTGCAATATGGGCGATAAGACGTGCAACGTGTGCTGCGTGTCGGGGTAAAGTTTCCTGATCCCTGGTAACTTGGTTATTTGGGAGCGCAGGGAAGTCAGATTAACAGTGCAGGTTTTGAGGTCTCCCAAGGCTGGTTCGGAAGGGGGGCGGGACGATGGCCGCTGGTTCAAGTGAGGTGAGACGACAGAGGTGCTTCTGTGCCGACGAACTCGGGGTTCTGCAGACCCCCCCCCACAGTAAATAACGTCGGCCTTATCTCTGGCCTAATCACGTGCTGGTCGTGGGTCGCCGCCGGCAACCCCGGACGGCTTTTGTGAAAATGGCGGGAGAGTGTCTGCCAACCCGTTGAGGGGAGCGCCCTCCCCCCATCGTAGTCCTGCCTGCCATCAGGATTTTTTTTATTTTCCCTCCAAGGCGCCGCGGCGCTCTGCCAGAGGAGAGGGGATGAAAGCCCCGGGGGGGGGGTGATGGGGGGGGTTGGGTCTCCTCTCGCCACACAGGCCGCTGTTTGTCCTCCGTTTATCGTACGTGTCGGCAGCGCCGTCGTTAATCTGCGGACCCGGCCCTCCCTGTTTGACGCGTGGGGCTGGCCAGGAGAAAGAGGGGATTTGTGGGAGTCCCGCACGAGAGGGGGGGGCCGAGGGCAGGGGGGTCATTTTACACCCACACAGAGGGCGTTTTGTGGGCTCTGGTCTCTATACGCGGTGTGGGGGCTGCATCAACCTCAGAAAGCATCTCGCTGTGACAACCCTCCCCCCCCCGTTAAATTAAACGAGCGTCACATGGGAAATCGCCCCGCGCTCTGTCATGGGCTGTAATTTTCAAATGCGATGAATCAGGTCACTGAGCTCATTGTGAAACGCTTCATATTTCACTTTGCTCTGCGTTTATACAACAGTCTTACACTCAATTTTCGTGTTTTTTTTTTTTTTTTTTTGGAGTTGCAAAATATTGTTTTTTTTCTCACCCCCCCCCCCTTACCAGCCCTAAAAATTGTCTTTCATTCAAACTTTGGGTAAACCTTACCCTAAATGATTGCTGTTCAGACCACAGTCCAGGGTAGGATGTCATTTAATAGGTATATTAATAAAGTGCAATTAGTTTTTCGCAAACTGTGCAGTTTTAATGTATATATTTTTTATATATATAGTCCTTTTTTTCTGCTTCAGTTGGCAGCAGAAAGTCACTGTAGACAGATAAATATTTTCCAGCCTGAAAACAGGCTTGACTGCTAAAACGCAGTGAAAGCTGTTTACACATGTGCTTCATTCAGTAGCGGTGCACTGCATTTCCGTGACTAATTTTCAGTTCGCACACTCATATCCTATATTCAATGTGAACATGGGTAGGATTCATAGAAGCTGACATGCACAGGAATTTGAGTCTCTGTTCCCTTGAGTCCTGATGGAATTGGACTGGAGTGTTCGGTCGGGGAAAGAGATTTTTTTTTTCCGAATCTCAGCCTTTTTTTTGTTTTTTAACAGTGCATGAAAGAATTGGCTGCTGTTACTGCTGTATACTATTAGTGTATTATTTTTTCCTGAAATAAATTTGGTTAAAAAATAATGGGAATAAGGAGAATGGCGGCTCCTGGGCCTGAAACAGCCTGGACCTTAGAGCGAAGACAGGAGTGACTCGTCCCGACTCCCAAAAATCTGCCCCGGGTTGAACACTGCAGTGAGAGAGACATTGGGACCCATCTGATCATGTCTAGCTTTGGGGAAGAAAGTTTGTTAATGTCGTTATTTGGTTTCAGGTTAGAAACGCGACCTGGCTGACCTTCGTCACACTTGGGCCCCCACCTGTAATGCTTGCGTTGCCCCTAAGCTACACGTGACATCATATCTTTCCGTCGTCTTGCAGCTATAACCTCATTTCTTGTCATCGCCCTTCTCAACAGACGTTTCTCGGGCCACATCACTGCCCGACTCGTGAGGTGGCTTGCAGGGAAAGGATTCTTCCGTGCGAAGGACGTTACTGGCCAGCCTGCCTTTCAATTCCACCCTTCTAAAACTAAAATGTCACATTATGTCAAAGATTAGGCTCCGGTTTATGACCGTCTAACCCTAAATTGCACCTTCCTGTTTCTCAGGCGGCATGCAGGGCTGGGGAGACGCGTGTTCAAGCCTGTCGCCTCCTCCGGGCTCCTTTGCTGTTAACTTGGGGAACCAGGGGTGTCTTGAGCGTCGAAAGGGTTGCTTCACGCGGGACGATTCGGCCGCTGTCGCTTTTCTCATCTCGTTCTGTGCTCAGGCCCCCCTTGTTTCTGTCTGCCGTCGTCTGAGGAGTCTTAATGCAGCATTTGAGGCCCATAGCAGGCAGACAGACAGGATGAAGGCCTCTCTCTCTCTCTCTCTCTCTCTCTCTCTGCCTGTCCCCCACTCTCTTTAAAGTGCGGTTAAAAGCAGGCACCTCTGAGCCCTCAGGAGCGGCAGAGAGAGGAGCCGGGGCAGTTTGGGACGAGGACAGCCTCTGGATGGGCTCCAGGGTCCTTCCCGGCCATAATTCCAGGCCAGGCTTTTGGAGCATACCTCCGGTCTGAGGGGAAGGATTTGATCTGGTTGGCAAACGTGGTTGGGGGGTGCGGGGGGGCGCTGTATAGTTTGACTTGTTGCACTATAAGTGCAAACAGGCTGATCTGAGTGGGATCGCCTGTTCGGGGAAGCAGGACCAGCCACCATTTGTGCCGTCGTTCAGACAGTTCGGCGGATGTCCAGGACAGCTCAGCTCGTCACCTGATCTTCATCATTTTTTATTTTATCTTTTCTTTAAATGGCTGCTTGTACTTCTGTAACTTCTGCACATCTGCTCATCCAGAGCTAAGCCTGTGTGAGGCTGATAAGATACCCCCCCCTCCACAACCACTTCCCCTTCCACGTGGAAACACTCTTTCCTGCCCGAAAGCAACTCTTTGGCGTAAACAAGGCACAGTTGTGCCGCTGAGGCTCCTCCCCCGCCCCCCCACCGGCATCGCTACCTACGCGCTCGGGGGAACTTTGACATCAGGCAGAAGGTCAACGAGGCAGAACGCTCCGTTTGGGCCCAGAGAGGGGGAGAGAGAAGCCGTCCGCTCAGCCCCCGAGATAGCGGGAGGTGGCTGCGATGAAAGAGCACAGCCGGCCGACTGCGGGACCCCCGCACCGAGCCCTGCCTGCCGGCGACCCCCTCCAGACTGATTACACCTCCATGTGTCTGCTTACAGAGGAGTCTTATCAGAAGCTGGCAATGGAGACTATGGAAGAGCTTGACTGGTGCCTGGACCAGCTGGAGACCATCCAGACCTACCGCTCCGTCAGCGAGATGGCTTCCAACAAGGTAGGGAGCGTCTCGGAGACCAACCCGGCCCGTCTCGAACTCGTTAGAAACCCGTGAAGCAAGGATGCTGGTCAGAGTCGACACACGTGCGCCTGTCGGAGAATGAGAAAGTATGCAGTAGATATTCAGCTGTTACAGTTTCATTGGGAGTTACAGCATTTGCATAAGACTTTTTTCAAGCGGGACTAGCAGCTGACAGGAAAAAAATAGCGTGCCGGTGAGTTTTATTACAGTAAGAGGAAGCAGGAAACCAAGGCTGTAATTTTTATAACATTAAAGCTATCCTAAGAATCCGTCACTCTAAGAAAAATAAAGGAGGTGAATCGTCATATTTAGCAGTGAGTGATGTCAGGTGTTAGAGGAATGGCTGTACTGACTGGTCAGAAATGTTCAAGAATGTTCTGCATTAAGTATCAATGCAGGAGTTTGTCTGTAGCACATATGTGTTCATTATTTAAGTCATCTGGCTTCTGGTTTCATTTTTTTTTAAACTCATTGGTCATTTAGTTTGGGGAGAAGGAAGACATGAAACTTCTGGAAGGTTTACTTTTTTGGAAGTATGAAAGTGTGTTTTTTGGTCATGGACATGGCTGGTGAAGAACATGAAAAGGCGAATGGGGAATCGATGGCATTGCCAGGCAGCAGGACGCCTGTTTAATGAATGCTGAATGAAAGCGTGACCGGTGCCAAACAAACCCAGTGTGCCCGGCTCCTCAGCGTTCCCATCCTCTGTGCCAGGCCCGAAAATCGAAAAGGCAGCTGTTTTAAAGTGTGACTTGGATTTCCTGCCTTCTCCATTCCTGTTCCGCCAGACTACAATGGCATGAATCAAAAACTTTTTTTTTCCCTTTATTATTATTATGCGGCGTCATCAGGACATAAAAGAAAGGAATTCTGCTCGACTCACTTCGGGAACAGGGCCAGAAGGCAACGTAATGGCTGATTGAGTCTCTTGGCTTTGATAGACGTGCTGGGGCACAACTCGGCCTGCTGGAAGGTGCCCTGATCTCTCGCTGTTAAAAACAAAAAAAAAAAAGCTAAGCTTGTACAAAACCCAGTGCTATAGATTTAGTTATTCAATCAAATCTGCACACTTTACTGTCACTCGCTGGCATGTCCGGCTAAGTGCCCGACTCTTGGGTATATTAGCAGGGCAAGGAATCGTCCTGTTTGGCTGCAAACGACTAAGTGACTTGTGTTTCTTCTAAGCCCCTATTTGAAGGGCTGCAGAGAAATCTAAGGTTCAAACGATCTGCTATTTTAAATGAAATGGAGATTGTATTACACATACCTCAGGACTCATTGCCAGAAGCTATTAGGCGCGGAAATAAGGGGAGACTGCGTTGTGAGTTAATTAACACATACCAGCCTCGTTAGTGCACATTCCACAGAACTGTAGCTTCTCTATAGGCTGTTTTTGCAGGTTGACTTCCTTCCCATTCTGACGCTCCTGGACGTGTTTATGAAATTTCATCTGTCGTTATTCATCTCCTGTGACGTCCGTGGTTCATTTCTGTGCCAGAACGTCATGAATGCTTCAAACCGGTTGACAGGATTTCTGTTGTAATTACTGGTAAAATGATTTTCAAAAGAATGGCGGTTTGATTTGTTCCAAGAGGCTGTATTGTTGCACTGTAGTTTAAAAGTATTTAAAATTGTAAAACTTAAAATGTTAAAACGTTGCTTTGTGTTAGTAGTGTTTTGGTGTATGCAGCTTTGTGCACATTTAAATGTAATGTTCTGAAAAACGGGCAAAGCCAAGTGAGTTAAGGAGTATTGAACTTTTACAAATAGTTCAAAAGTTTTTATTTTGTGTGCGTCTGTGTATTTTCTGGCCAACTAAGCTGATCAAAAGATTATTTTCCACATAACTATTCATATGCAAAAATGCCCCTAAGTCCCCCCCCCTCCCATTCCAACCCCCCGCCCCCCCCTCCCCCAGCTTGTGGCTGGTTTAAGCTGTGAAGGAAATCACAGACAGACGGGTCACTGGGGGGTGTTTTACGACCCCCAAGCAAGACAACTAGTAGGAGAATTGCTCAAATTTTGCAATGCATAACTAGAGAGGTACATAAGGCTCCACCTGAGGCTGTGGTTGAGGGGGTGTGGTCGGTGAGGGGCGGAGCCAGGGGGCAGGAGGTGGATTTTGCCAGGAAATGGCTAGACACGCTGAGGAACTTAAGCCAACGGGGCAGCGATAAAAGGGCGTGTGGCCCAAGGCAGTCACAGCTGCGTTAGACACACGAATGCACAGCTCTCTGAGTCAGTATATCGTTCCCAGTCTTGGGCACAGAAGCACAGATCTCCTCAGGCACTCAGATTCCCATTGTCCCAACCCTTGGGAAAGCCATCTCCATGTGTGGGACCGCTTCTACCAGAATGGGACTGCACTGTCCCATGAAGAAACACAAACAGTTTGGGATAAACTCCTCCCGGAGACAAGTGAGTTTTACCTAGTTGTGGCATGCGCTGGGTTTTCATTTAAAACTTTTGCTTTAAAGTTTGTACTTTTCTGGAGCAAAAGCTTGGAATTAAGACTTTCAACAGTTTTGGTTGTTAGATTATGTGGTCTTATTCACTACAGTTCCTGAGTGTGGTTTTGTGTAAAGAAAAGAAAAAAAAAGTTTTGCATTGTTAAAATAGACTTGAAATAGTTTTTCTGTCTTTATTTTGTTTTTGACTGACTTGTTTGGGTAGGTTAATTTCCTTTTTGGAGGATAAATGAAATAAAGGTTTTACATTCTCTGAGTATGTTATGGGAGGGTGGCCTTACTTTTTAATGTCACAGTGTTACTTTGACTTTGCCCTCATTGTGTGAAAAGCCCAGCTCCTTTGTTAAATGCACCTGACATGAGAATAGTAATATTGTTATTATTGCTTGCATCATGAGTGACATGAAAAATGCATTTAGAAAATGGGAGTTGTTTTTCTTTTATCTTCTTCCTTTGACACATTTCCGGATGAGTGTATTCTTTTCTGCTCTAATTAAAGTCTAAGGCAGGGAAAAGCCCGATAAAATAATTGTCTTGACGTATGAAAATACGATATTGAAAGCCAGAGAAAATAAAAGGATTGCACTGAATTTTCCAGCGTCTTATGGTAAATCCCGAATTGCTCATTAATTAGATAAGAGGTTCTCCTGGAGGGCATGGTTTCTAGGCTTCGGTTCCAAATATTTTCAGACTTCCTCTCTTTTGGAAATTAAGCTAGGATCTTCTTACTCGGTTCTGGTTGTGATGGGGGGGTTGGATGTCAGAGACCCTCCAATGCTGCACGGTGGAGCTCTGCTACGCTTTGGTTCCACACAATTCTTTTATTTGGGAACAGAGAAGTCGAGAAGGATAACCGGCCGTCATAGTCACAAACTTCCTCGAAACTCTGAGCTAAGATGGAAAACATTTGTTTAAAAAAGTTCAAGGAAAAGGCGCCGCTTGGAATACAAATCACAAATATTCAATATAAAAAGGTATGGGGAGAATTAAAAATGATCCCGTTTAGATTCCGTTAATTACATAACGCAAGTTTGACATGCGCGGTAGTTCTGAATGAAATGTACCTTCACCTCTGTGTATTTTTTCCCACGGGCGCGTTAATCTGTGTGGTGACACAGCCTGATGAGGTATTTGCACAATGGCTGGGATGGGAAGCGCCGGGGAAAAAGCGTCTGTGACTCACAAATGAGAGCAAACATTTGGGTTCGGTGTCCGTCATGACCGGGCCTTGCATCACGGCACCTCGCCTTTGCAAACGGATCCGCGTTGGATACGTGCGAACATCCCGTGCCGATGAATAGGCGCGGTTGCCTAATTGTGTGCATTTTGCATACTTAGGGATGGAGGCTGATTTTAACGGGACCGTATAAAGCGCGTATCGTCGGCTGGGGCAGCAAACTTACACGATCATGATTAGCAGGAAAAGCCCACGTTTAGTTACAAAGTTGGTCTGATTTTGCTGCTCTTTGCAAACGAAGTTTACACGCAAAGAAAAATTATATCTCCAATCTTCGCCTTTTTACAGTAAATAGTAAGATTTTTTTTTTTTTTTACTTCGATTGATTTATTCACATTTTAACGTGCGATACTGTATTTGATTGTTTTATCAATGGCTATTTCCTGAAGCATTTTATGACTTTACATGTAGTACAAATTTATTTGATTCGGTCTGCCTGTTTAACTGGACACTGCAACAGGCAGTCCGTCTAATAACTTTCCGGCACCAAACGCAGGTCCTCTAAACTAAGAGATGCCCGTGGTTAACATGCACACTTGTGTAGGCTGGTTGATAAAGTGACGGGACAGTGTGATGTGTTCGCTCACAGTGGAGGGGAATCCTTTAGCAGAAATACCTTCGGTCGTTCATATAACGTGCCCACAGGCTTTTGTGTCTTCTGCCGCAGCCAATGGGCTGTGCGGTACTACACGAAAATGCATATAAATATCAGCGGTAGAAAGGAGCGATTTTAAGCATCAGTCTAATTTTTAATTGGATCCTGCATGCAAAAAATAATGTGCATTTTAAAAATGAAAATATATACTTCTAAAATTATTTAGTTTTACAGCGTATGTGTGTGTTTTTACTGGTGAACGTACAGGACTGATGTTTTTTGTATTAAATCACGAATATCTAATAAGTAAGTAAAGAAATGGGCAGGCCGCATCCCGAAAACGGCTCGGAAAGGGGGAACCTCGCGGAGACAGCCTTTGCGCGTTACGTCACTCTGTTGCCATGGCATTCTCGCTGGCTGCGGCGGAGAGACTCGGGATGATGTCATCGTCAGAGATACAGTTGTCCTGAGCTGTCCGATGAAAGGGGGTAAAATGGCTGCTCAAATACAGTAGAAGACGGATGCAGGAGCGGAGGAGGGGTCTCACGGGGGGCGGGCGGTGGGGGACTAGGTACAGCTTAATGACTTCTTGGTAAATTGTTGCGAATTATGCTCTGTTATGTGCTCATTTGTCATGAAAAGGGTTGCTCAGTAAAATTTGCTGGCTGGGGGAGTCCTCTCAGTAAATTTTGCAGTGGGCCCCCTGGCGTGAGGGACCCCAAGGGTGGTTGCCCCCTCCCCCCCCCTCCCAAACTCATCAGCTACTGTGGAAACATCCATCTTTTAAAATGTATTTTTCCTAAATTCTAAGTCCTAAATCAATACACGATACACAGTTGGATAACATGATGTCCAAAGAAAAATTGTTGGAAAAAATGGTTTGCACTCATTTATATATATATATAGCTGCCAAATTAAGCATTCCAAAATGTTGTTGAAATGCAGCTTGCTTTCATGATTGTACTTACTATAAATGAAATGACGGTGGTACATTTTTTTTTGTTTTTAAGTGCTTTAATTATGCAAATGTTTCCAATGAGGAAACAAAGGTAAGAGATGAAAGCTCAGCGAGGCAGGTGGCCTAAAAAGAGCCTTTCTGATTGGCCGGCGCAGAGCTGCAGTGCCTGGATATCCTGCGGCCGATTTGCATAACTGAGCAGGGGGCTTCCTCCATTTTCTGTCAAATCATGCGCGCTGTGCAGTGATGTTGCTGGGGATGGCAGGATAGGAAGGGAGAGAGAGAGGGGGATG